TACACACACGCATATATACACATAGACATATGTTGTGTGATGTGTGTGTGTGTGTGTGCGTGTGTGTGTGTGTGTGTGTGTGTGTGTATATATATGCTTCCCCTTGTTGGGTTTATGTGGCCATTAATGGCCTTATGAGAGCTTGTATAAGCATTTTATATAATGAAATACAAACTCAGTGAGAGTGTGGTCCTTGTGTGGACCATACTAGGCAAATGCTATTTGTCGATACTCGGACTGAACTCGACGTACTAGGCCAGCCGAGTTTGGAAAAACCCAAGATACCTGGGAATAAGGATCTAATCGAGAAGGGTTTAGTGGTTTAGCCTTTGATGAGGTCGGAGTATGCCCGGATGAGAGCCAAGGGACTTTGTGGCCCTTGTATGTGATGAATAGCCTTTAGAGACATGGCTAAAACCTCATTGTTATATCATCACACGGTATGTACATAGATAGCTGTATTGAGATTCACCATTGAGGGTGAAGTGTGTACATGTGCGAGAGATTACCCCTATGCACCATTGAGTCATGGTTGCCTCATGATCTGGCGGACCATGTTTTTTGTCTCTAATGGAGAACCTAACATCCATAGACAAGGATTTCGTCCCCTAGTCTATTGTTTGACTTTGGTGATCCAATCATGAGCCCTTGCAATGGACTATGGGTCATGGGAACTGCTGGGTCAGTTTGAGAAAGCTAGGTGGATCGTGGTCTGCAGTTGAAGGTGGAGTGTTGATGTACATTGATAAATTCCTAAATCTAATGGATCGGATTCCCATCAAAATTCATTAATTTTATGTTATATGATTTTTAAAATGTTTATTTGAATTTTTATGAATCTTCTAATATTTTATTTTTGTCATATGAATTTATAAATTAAGAGAAAGTCATTTTTCAATGTTTTAAATAAATTATGAGATTTATAAATTCAAAAATAAAATATTTCTAAAATTATGTGGGACCCTCCATAAATATGGGGGCCCTATTTGGCACGTGTGGAAATTGAGTGGGGCCCACGTGTGGCCACCAAAGGGTGGCACAACCCACCCATAGGGATTAACTTGATCACCAAGTAAGGTGATGGTTGTCCCATGTTGGGTGGCTTTTTTTTTTTTGTATATAGCCAACTTGCATGATAAATTCAAATATTTGAAATATTTAGTAAATCTTGTAAATCAAGCTTGATTGATTCAAGAAATAAGGAATGAATATATTAAAATAGAAAGTAAGATATACATTTTCCTTATTTAAAGATTTGATGGGAATAGATTTAGGAAAGGCAGGATAAGGTTCTAGCACCTTCCTTTGAATCTTGATGTTGGATCAAAGGAATGGATAGCTCACATCTCTCACCCCACAAGTCTCCCTAGATTGACGGTCATGATTTGATCCGACAAATTATGGCAAACCCTAAGGCATAGAAAATCTATAAAAAGAAGCTCTCCCACCTCATAAATCGTTACACCTATTCTCTCTTCTCTTTCTAAGAGTTTTCTCACTCTCTCTAAGGGGCATGCCCCAACCTAAGAGCTTCATATCTCTCTCTAAGTTACAAAGGGGGGCACACCCCAACCCAGACCTCCCTCTTCAAGTTTCTAAGGGCGCACGCCCAAGTCATCTCTCTCTTTTGCGAGTTCTAGGTGGCACGTCCAAGCTGGGGTTAGCTTGTGGTTGTTCGATTTTTGTGGGTAACTAAGGGGAGCATCCCTTAGCTAATAGATCTCTCCCTCTCTCTTTGATTTCGATCTCTCATCCCTCTAAATATCAAGCCAAGGGGGCTTCAGCAAGACTAAGGCCTTGAGGCTTTAGGTAGTTGGTTCTTGATCGAGATCCATTGCCATTGAGAGGGTTTTGCCATAAGTAGGAGAATCAAGAGACCAATCATAGATCCCGGACACCATCGGAAGGAGGAAATTCGGCGTGAGGTGTACTAAGCTTAGTTAAGGTAATCTCCGGCAATTTTACTTCTTTAAACTTTTATTTGTGTTATGCTCTTCTAATCCCATAAAGCAATGAGTTAAGGTTTCGATTTAAAGAATTATATTCAATAGTAGCTGCAAAAGAGAGCCGTGTTTCTCTTCTATTCTTTATTTGTTTCATGATTTTTTTATTTGTAATTGTACATTGCAAGTGGTCTTGCCGGTGTAAGAATAATAAAAATAAGAAAAAAAAAAATTTATATATACCGTGCTTGATCACATAGTTCAACTTTCAACCCCCAACCCCTAGAAAAAAAAAACCCTAGCCAAAACAAACAGGTCCGTAGTGAATTTAAGAACATTGGATTAAATATGTGAAGTTTGTGAAGACATAATAGATACACAATATTTGTTGATAATCAATCTCAAGTTGTATCATTTCTTTCATTTGGAAAAGATCTGAATGTGATGTGGTAAATATGTTGTAACAATGTTTTGATGATTATCATGCTTTTGCTTTAATGTGTTTTACTTCTCATTTTGTAAGGATGTGATGACGTTGGATGAAACTGAAAGAATTCTCATGAGGGGTCCAGCAAATGTTCACCATGTAAATGATTCTAATATGGTAAGCTTACTAAATCTTCAAATATTGCTAATTAACACATTAACTTTTAAAGTTGTTTTGTTGACCTAAGTAATGCACTGATTTCGTGTTCTATGGAAATTGGATACTTGCATAGTTACATTTCTTGATGCACGCTTCTAGATACATGCATTTAGAAAAGTTTAAACTTTGAAAACCTAATGAGTCCCATATCTGAAAAGCTTATGAAACTATTCATTTGCTTCTCCATGGGGTCTGTTTCTTTGGTGGATCCCCAAACAGATGGTCTTTAGGTGACCAATGGATAACGATCTTTGCTGTATCCACTGGTCTACTATAGTTGGTTCCTGCATTCTGTTTTATGCACTTGTAATTGCATTCCAATTGCTTTTCATTTTGATACAGTAACCATTTGGTCATCTTCAGAAGTTTCTTGTAATTAGGTGTGGAAGTGGAGGTTTCTATTTTATTTAGGAGTCAGAATATGTAAATGGTAGTTGTTGGAAGTGCTAGAGATTTGGAAGCATCTTAGGAATTGGAATTGCTGTGGAATCACAAGTGGCCGGAAGATTCCTACAGTAGGAAGTGTCATCTATACAAGAATTGAGATTTCTACTTTTAGGGGATTGCGCTTAAACCCAATTGGAATCAAGATTTCTACAGTTTTTGGGATAGAGCACCCAATCAATTGGAACCACGTCGGGAATCATCAAGAAACGAATTTCATGGGGAGAATCCATGTATTAAGTGTTGAGTTTTGCGGCCTTTAAAGGCTTAGAGAGATTGTAAATCTAATACTTTATAATGGAATATGCACTTCAGTTGGAGTCTGTGTTGATTGACCAAGGGTTTGGCGGTCTATGGACCTGGTCATGTTTAAAACCTTAACCCCTGGGCATGTGGCACTACCGAAAAGGGTTTCTAGTGGGTCATCCCTTGTTGAGGTCAGAGAGATGCCTAGGGATATTCCTTACCAAGGGAACTGTGTGGTCCCTTGTGTACAGTTGTAGGCCTATGACAGCAAGGGCTAAAGCCTCAACAAACTTCCGCACGACATGTACACATGACAACGTCATTACTGAGAAGCAACCTATAAAGGGACACATCCCAGTGTGCCAAGCGCTCTTTCACTCCCAATGTGATCAAGAGCTGTAACATGTCAGTCTTACAGGGCCTTGAAAGGCCATAACTCCAACAAAACAAGGGAGCTTTAGCTTGGAGGCCAACTAAGGGCTTTTGTGAAGGAGGCCCAGGTTATGTTCAACTTGTACTTGTACCTTGCTTGGAATTTTTTAATTTTCTGTTTTCTTCCTCAAAATCCCTGCATCAATAAGAGTGCCCATGAAAGGTAAGTTTTAGTACAAACCTTTATAACAGGTACTAAGCAACTTCAAATGAATATCAGTTTTTATTGTCCACAGCTTCATATGAGACATGTGAATTGATGCATCGTGCAGTACTCTTTTGTGCATCTATAAAAGCAGTTGTGAATATTCGTTGTCATTATTTCATTGTGAATTTGCGATGGTGTTATTGTTTTTCTTTTACTTGGATTCCATGATGTATCACAGTAAAATATTTCACGAAATATGTCAAAATAACTTCTTCTAATATTGGTATTAGCACCAACCAGTCCCCAGACATTTGTACGAGGTGTGGTACCTTTTGCTACTGGCATCTTCGCGAAGTATGATTCAGTTGATAAAATTCGGGATTCAACTTGTAGATCCATGATTGTCATTGATCATAAGAGCTCGCTATGATGTTGCGTTCAAAAAATTATTAATCCCTTGTATACATTTCTTGTAATTATTAAGTTACTATTAAGAAAAGTGCCATGTAAGGGTGACAGAAGCAAAAGACAATTGTAACTCTGTTTATGCATAAGCATAACCTGTACACAATCCACAAACATGTCAACGGCCTCAATTTTTGGGTGGCATGAGGTCTAGCGGTGGCTATGGACCCGAACCTGACTCCGGACCCACAGGGTATACCCAAGACAGGTCTGGGTATGGGTTCAACATTTGGACCCAGCGGATCGGGTCCGGGTCCAAAACTTGGACCTGAACACTATTGGAGTCCGGGTTCGGTTGGACTTGACCCGTACCCGACTTGTAACGGTATATTGTTGGAGATAAAATACTTCAAGCCCTGGTCATTTGGGTGTATTAAGGATGGTATACGATAAGAACTTATAGTCATCTTTAGCTAGTAAACGACAAATCAGACGGCTTGAAATCTAATGGCGAGTGACTGTGATCTTGTTGCCAATAATATGGGTATCATCATCATCATCATCATTTTAGCTTTTTCCTAATTAATTGGAGTAGGTTACATGAATCCTGGTAAAAAAAGGGAAAAAAAAAAAAGGAAGCTCATAGTGAGGGTGGCAATGGACCCGACCAGACTTGGGACCTGACGGATACAGGCATGGGTCCAACTTTTGGAACCGATGGGTCGAGCGGGTCTGGGTCCGGGTCCGGGTCCAGCCGGACCCGACCCATTGCCACTCCTTAGGTCCTTCAAGTTCTTGACATCCATAATATTCTATGGTTATATAAACAATCCACTTTTCATACTGCTATTTGGAAGTCCATGGATTGTATTATTTGTTTTGCTCTTCTTTCCTTAAAAGTTGTGTTGTATTTGTTCATCTAGTTTCAACTAGATCAATGACTATTTAAATTATTCATAAAGAATTTTGTGTGTTCTGATATTCTTGTTTATTTCTCCATTAAATAGGTCATTTCTTACATACGTGGACCTATTCTCTTCATCTTTAACTTTCATCCTGAGAATAGTTATGAAAGATATGGCATTGGTGTTGAGGAAGCTGGGGAGTACCAGGTATATGAACTCATTTATTACATCTTGATTGTTTCCTTTCATTAATTTTAAACAACTAACAATAATATGCTAGTCAGTGATCCAGTTGATATTCTAATCAGCCTTGGAGAGGGAAGCAGTATTCTGTATAGTTGTACGTCATAGTGCACAGAATCAGTCGTTCTATTGCTTCTTGTGAGGACACATTTTTCTTCTTCTGAAAGTAATCGACTATATTGAAGTAAGGACAGATTGTAGAAAACAAAAATGCTCGTAATCGAAATCCTTGCTATGTTGAGTTTAATGCAAACTATGGGGCTCCTGCCCATCCTTTCTTTGCCAAGGCATCTACTGAGGCATTTCCCTCCCCCAACATGAACTTAAAATTGATATGTAAGAACTCGTAACTTCAACAATTTGGTTCAAGATGTATTCTAGTCTCTAGGGGCACGGAAAATCTTGGTAACCCAGGAAATGAACTTATGTGAATCCCCTTCCACTAGGAGAAAATGACCCCAGGTAGGGTAGGGGCAAACATTATGTGAATCCCCTTGCACTGGGAGAGAACCCCAGCTAGGGGCGACCTGTTCGCTATCTTCTAACGGGCCTGTAGCCTCTACCATGGTAGATTCCGTTGTTTTGATTGGGCCCAAGTATGAGAGGTCAGGGTTCAAGATGAATTATCTTGGAAAGGCCCTGACCCAGCTGGGCCAAGTTTACTGAGTGATGATCCATCAACATTTTGCTCAGTGAGGATCCTTTGGAATTTAGTTTGATGGTACCTGCTCGAGGGGGATCGAATGGTAGATCTCGATATTCTAATCGGCATGCAGCAAAGAATGGCATTCCAGTTTTCTAAAACCTCTAACCCAACACTTGAACTCTTGACAGTTCTATGCTCAAAAGAGACTTATCTCTTGACTCTCGAATAGCAGAAATCCTAGCATTTCATTCCACCTGGAGGGCCCATATTATGGCAAATATGGTAGCCCGCCATAAGAAAATCCCCTAGCAAGGATAGGAGGGACTAAAATACTCCACGAATAGTTGCCAGACTGTTTGGCAAGTCATCCACATCCACCTGTAGCATTGAAAAGTGAGGGATGCCACTATATGGCCCAAGAAAGGACAAAGTAAAATAGATGGTCCTTACCGGGACCACCCCTTACGGGCGTGATTCCAGCTCCAAAATCTAGATCCCAAGCTCTAAAGCAGGGATCTCGACCAAAGCCCTTTTGTTTTTTTTAGGGAGCAAGCTCCTTTTTCATGGAATATCGATTCCTTATTCGTACGGACCTGGATCCCCCTATTCATGGTGCTCGTTCCCTGTGTTTGTGGATCTTGATCCCTAAAATGTTGGGATCTCGATCCCCTGATTTAGGGATCTTGATCCCTATATTTGTGGTTTTCCATTCTTATCGTGTACTGACCCCAAACATCAAGAATTAAATTACTTAGATTGCTACTATAGTTGTAAAATGTATAACCCATATCAAGAATTAAAACCATTGAAGAATTTAAAATAATGGAAAGAGGGAAGCTCGTTCGTTGCGCAATGGGATCTAGTTTCCATGTGCATTTGGACTACAATCCTTTATATTTATAGAACAAGGATCTTAATTTATATGGATCGTGGTCCCTAGATTTTTGGGGTCAAGACTCGTGAGAAGTGGAAAGGCGGCCTTGCGAAATGGGATCCTAATGCAGGAAGGAAAGGTGGGAAGTTAAATCCACCCCTTTCTTGAATCTTAAACAAGTTAAATCGGCAATAATAAATTAAACCAAGAGAAGAACTCTTTTCTTTCATGAAATAAAACTCATTTCAATGACATATGCCTCCCAAAATATGACATTTAAGACTCTAAACTATCCCTAAACAATACTAAAATTCCAAAAATACCCCTGTAAACAGTACACATGTAAACAATAATGTGCGAACAGTAACACATAAATAGTACTCATGAATAGTAAATAAAGAAAATATAAGAAAACAATAGAATCCCAAAAAAAATTAAAATCCTAAATAAATCCTAAAACTAAAATCAAAATTAAAAGTGAATAGAAATTAAAAATAAGTATAATTTTCTCCTCCATCATTCTACCCGGGTTGGAGAAAATTCGTCCTCGAGTTTTGAAGTGTGCTAAGATGAATTCAGCCTAAAAACCACCTTCTTCAACCTTATTTTTCTTTGTTGGCTCAAATATTATTTGAGGTAAAAAGATTCCTCAAGAAATGCATCTTGATATGTATATTGAATAATCAATGCAAATTTATCAAATACGGTTATCCTTGAACTCTCATAGCAAATCATGTGGGAAACTTCAAATGCAATTTTCTGGTCTTTAGAGGTTTTCTCAACATCTATTTCATTACTTTCTAAAATCAAGGCCACAATTTGGATCATGACCCCTTCAGGGCCCCTACACACCTCTTATATATTACAATTTAATGTTCCAAGTACAAAAAGCTTCCAAACAAACAACACATTGACCCATATATCCCAACCTAACTTAAAATGCGTAATGACAGTTTTACCCCTGTGTACAGTACTCGTGAACAGTAATTGTGAATAGTACTCATGAGGTAAATAAAAACCCTAAAATCTTTAAACAAGTAAAAAACTGTAGAAGTAAACCCTAAAATTAACACTATAATATACATCATTCGAAATTAAATAAAAAAAAATAAGAATAATTTTATCCTCCATCATTTTCCCCTTTATTGGAGAAAACCCATCCTCAAGTTTTGAATTGTGCAAAGATGAATTTAGCTCTGATACTGATTTTATGGTGCTACAATAACTTCCTACACTGCTACAGTACTTTCACACCATAGTTGTTGGGATCGATTCGGGATTCGCCGAACCGCCCCCTATATAGGAAGCTCCTTGGGGTTAGGATCATCATCCGTACAATAAACAAGACAAGGAGCGAGATCCTTAGGTTTATGGCAGCGAGATCCGATGCTAATGGGCTCGATGTTTTGACTAGCAGGAATATAAGTTCCACTATAAAAAAAACAATGAGGTTATAAGTAGAGCTAGTACGAGTTCCCTTGGTCGAGGAATCAAAGTTTAAGCATGTCATATAACAGGGTTCCTCCTGTTCTACTATCAAGATTCTTAAAGTATAGAAATCAAGGTCCTCAAATGATTGGCCCCCAGGTCTGCAATTGCGATTTACCAGGGATCCCTTATCAAGTGGCCCCTGCCCTTAACAATGGATTTATTTATTTTTGCACGAATAACAACGGATTAATTATATAGTTCTATAAAGTCGGTTTTCTTATGATCACTACATCTTCAAGCCATGACACAAGTTTGCATGCACCATTCCATCTGACTCTCCAGCAACCCAGAATCGGAGAATCCTACTATGCAAGAATCATCTTCTTTGAATGTAGTCTCATTTGCTTTCATTATTTCTCAAAGGTTGGGTCTTCAAAGGGGCAAGAGGATAAAGATGAACTACTCTCTCTCTCTCTCTCT